TGGTATTTATGCTAAATGTCACTGCAAATCATGCTATTACCTATACAAATTTGGATGTTTGGGGTGAATAAAACAGGTCTAATAGCCAAGATAAGTATTAAATATGTTTTGCCGACATGTATTTGGAAATATTTCTGGCGGGTTTTACGGTATTTCACGTTTTTTGGGAATTTCGCGGGATTTCGCGGAAATACCTGAATTTCGCGGGTCCGCAACCGCGCGAAATATCAGAAGCCCTGCTTATAGAAAGTACAGGAAACAGTGTATCCTATGACTTGGCACTTATACTGATGTCATGTGCTGCATACATTATATGTGTTGGGGTTCAATTATGTATCCTTGGTTTAAATTTTATTTTACTTTGTTTGGAATCTATTATAATACATTTTCAGACCCCAAAGCAAAGGAATATAAAATTAAAACTAAGGATAAAATTGAACCACAACATATGACCAGTGTTGTACAAGTATAATCTCCATAATCTTTTTTCGTTGTTTTTTTTCTTAATTTAGGCATCGGATGATCTGTCAGAAGAAGAAGAAGCAGCTATATGCATTCAGGCTCATTTCAGAGGATACTTGGCAAGAAAGTTCTTTGTGCAGCTTCTGTACGATAAATATATAAAGGTTGGTATTAAAAGCTTTCAGCTTAGCTGTAAGATTGTCCTTTTCGGTGTATTCCATGTAATAGTTATTACGTGTTTCAATTGAAACAAATTTCTACTTTATATTTTGACATGTAAAGACTTATGGAAATTGTATTCCTTTATTTCAGGAGGAGGAAGAGATGGAATCAAAAAGGAGACAACAAGTTATGGAAGGAGAGCTATTGGTTGAAAAGTAAGACAACCAAATTAAAGTATATTGGCCTCATTTATCATATCCATTACAGTGCTGTAAAATAATTAAATCTTCTTTGTTTGGGTGACCATAAGCATAAAAGCAGTAATAAAATAATGTAATTTAGATATGTACTTGTAGAGGCTCCAGATATGCAAATCATTTTTTAATTCTTGAAAGTAAAATTATCATGTTAAATATTCTGCTGTTACGTATATGTATGTTAAAAGATAGCACTATGATGGCAAATGATTTGACATTCTTCTGGTCCTTTGATGTTCTTCAAATACAGAGCATTGTGTTTACATCTGTAAGTAAATGGGTTGAATTTTGTGTAGTTGTCATATAGTAATGAACAATAAAGCTTTGAATGGAATGAATATACATTTAGGAGCAGCAGTAGCAGTTCTGATAGATTTGTAGCTGCTTGACAATATTGTTATAAGCATATAGAGTAAAGCGAGTACAGAAATATTGTTTAACTACATTTATTATTGACACTACAGTTATAATCGATGTGTTTTGGTAGGCAGTTAACTGACCAATTATGTTGACTCCCTTTCTTAATATAAGCTGTAAAAACATTCTTACAATGTGCTAGTGAAATGTTTCTACCATTGACCACGCAATGACTGACAGTAAGCTCTTTGACTAAATACCACCGATCACAAGTGCTCAACACACTAGCTGGTAGAATTTAGTATGTATGAAGATGACCTTTCATCTTTTTAATTGACAAACATTCATTTTCAAAATTATATCCCCTCAAACAAATGTCAGTGTGTCCTGTAGTCAAGTGAATCTTTGTCGAGATGATTTTAAAGAAGGGTATTTTTATTTTTATTTTTATTTTTTCCTTTGTACTCAATGAAAGTATACACTCACAGAAAGTATAAAAAGTCCAGGTGTTTATTATTATTGAAGAATATTTAATATTTTGTTTCATAAAAGAACAATAATTTATTATTCTGTCCTGTCTATTCAAAATCTTGAATTTACTAAAACATACTAATAGTCTGTTGCTAGTAGTCCAGAGTTGCTTAATTCTGCTTGGACAATTTTTGAGGCAAGCATGCTGAACTCTACAGGCAGAATATACATTTTTAAGAATAATATGAACAAAATAGTGAAAAATCAGCAATGCTAATGATGTGTATAAAAGTTACAAGAAAACTGGAAACTAAGAATAACTTGTAAGATCCTTTTTAAAATTCACTGTTTTGACTGCTATGAATGATATTGTACAAAGTGTGTTGAATCAATTTCTCCAGGTTATGAATATGTCATAATGGGCTTGGCGCAGGTTCCTGTCAATATGTGAAAATTTATAACACCCAAATGACTAAAACTTTTTAAGGAACTTGAGTCTGAATTTAGGTGTTAGAGTACAATTTCCAGCAAAAATTAATAAGGGATTTTTATCAGCACTGCTGGAAAGCAGAATTACCTGTTAATTTATGAACAGAGTTTATACAAGCCTTTCGTTAACAAACGTCTTTGTCGGAAAAACGCATTGTGTGGCATTAAAGTCTATAGTAATTAACTTTCCGTGGTTTTAAATTGATTTATAAATCTTTCTAACAAATAATATATTTTCATGCAGCATTTATTGTAAGAGTGTTTCCAGAACAGCTGTGGAAAAAAGGCTCATTACAAACTGTCTGTTTTGAATATATTGTGCAACTTTTCTATTTAAAAATTTTGTACAGATTTAAGAAATGACAGATAAGGTTTGATTATTATGCTGAAATTATTGCTTTTGATGTAAATTTGATTGGTAACTGTCAATTTTTTTGTTTATCTTATTCACTATCAGCTATTTAAAATTTAAGAACTTTCTACTCCTGTCAGATTCTAAAATAACATGGAGCACATTCAAACATTGGAAAGTACTTGTACTTTTTCACTGTACAATTGGGGCTTAATTCTTTTAAAAGGCCAATCAACAAAAAGAATACTCTTTCTTATCACAACTTTTCGGGAAAAATAATAATTGGCCTTCTACCCAGATACGGCTTAATAAAGAGTACTCTGTAGCACAAAGTTCTTAAGAAAATTTGTTGGATGTTTTAGTTGTTGTATGTATAATAGTGAAGATAGAGTAAAACCCCTACTGCTGTTGTAACTTGACAGCTGATGGATACAGTGTATATCATTATGTTAATGAGCTATTAAGTACACTGCATGTGTAGCAGCACACTTTGTGAACGTTTGCATTGTGCTGTTCAATATTTTGATCTCCTCAGTAGTATCTGAGTTTTTCAGTGAAACCTGTTTAGCACTTTCTTTAATAACTGCAGTGCTACAGTGTGTACATGTTTTTGCAAAATTATTTCAATTTTCAAATGTGAATATTATTTTTGGACAAAGTTAATCTTTTTTAGTATTAAAACCTTAATCCTGGTTGAGTTATTACGAGCTTATGTGTCAGATAAAGCAATCAATAGGGAGGTACATTAGTGTACGTACAGTTTACTGATATTCATACACAACTTGTATTCTCATGTTTAATTAACATGGATCAAAATTGATCTTAAAATGAATGCACAATCATGAGTTTTATTTGCATGATCTTTTTTCAAGTTAAAACAAAAAATAATTATAAGAAATGATTTTTCCACTCCACAAATTTTTCTCCAAAAAATACCCTGACCATCATTTTTAAAAAACTGAAAATGTTTTTCATTTTCTCTCCTGACAGCTATCGCTTAAACCTTGAAATGGACGAGAATACTTGTTTACGTAAAAACACTAAAAGAGGGAAAGAATGTGATGTTATAACGTAAGTTTGTCCCTGTGAGTTTGAGGTGGCGTATAAATGTTGGACAGTGTATTTACAATTAAAAAAACACGCATTTACTCCTTGAACAACTGCTCATTCCAACCTATGTTGTAGGTCAAAATGAAATTCAGGTCAGCCTAAGCTGATTCTGAATTGCCTTTCTTTCCTAACCTAACCCAGATTATTCATGATCATGAATAATTAGGATTAGGAGACAAAGGAAATTGAGAATCAACTTCGGTTGAAATAACCTGCAAATACAGCTATCTGTCCTTGGTCCTCATTACTAGGGACTTCTTGTGGGAGAGGCATCTGGGTTGTAGCCCCAGAAATTCCATTCTGGGTGGTGACATAGATTTGTCCAGAATTTGGTCAACAAGCGCTGGTTTGCCTGTGCAAATACCTTAACATTGGTTCTTTCTCAAATCATGGCTGTTTGCAAATATCATAGGGTCAATATTGAACATCTCACACCAACTGCTCTATATCCAATTATCATGTTACATGCTTCAACTAAAAGAACACTTCAAACGTGCTATTTTGTCAATGTGTTTATACATAATGTAAATAAATATATAAGGTATTATTATTATTATCATTATTATTATTATTATTACTATTAGAATTATTATTATTTGTTCAATATGCAGTATATATTGATCATTTTGCCCCCTCTTAAGGCTATATGTTGCAAAAGTGTTCCCAATGTTTTAAGTTTTTACTTTGAATTTATAACTACAGACTGTGCACTTCAACCTAACCATTCATTGATTATTATTTGTATTATGTTCATGAAAGACAGTAAGTTTGTGTGCTGCAGGGGAGCAAGAGAAAAAGTTATTATTAGGCCTTTTATGTGTAAGCCTTTTGTTTTGTGACTGTATAGCTACCTGTTAATATTAATATACAGTGTAGTAATATTGCTCTTGACACCTATGACATGCTGTTGATATTTGTAGCATTCAAAGAGCTTGGAGAGAACACAAGCGAAGGTCTGAGGACCACTTAACACCTGAACATGGCAGAGTTAATCCATTTAACAAGCCAGATTTTGGAACTGTTACGCAGCCTGCTTATTCTACTCCAGACAATAATGGTGTTCATATTCGGACAAACCCATTTATGGGTGGAAACGAGAATTCCACTCACCATGATGATGACACTCTTTCCGATGTTTTTAATGACAGTCTAGAGCAAGTTACGGAGGAGAATTTAAGAAATACTCAAGAGCATGGACCACGTAGACAACTTTGTGATAATTACCAGGAAACTGAAGATGATATTCTTAATGGTGACGCACCTGGATTAGATTCTATAAGCTCACCGGCAGAGCTGCCTTCGCCAACGACAGACTGGGAATCTATAGAGTCGTGCTTGACATCAGAGGGAGATACTCAAGAGTTATTGGATCAAACTGAACTTCTGGACTCATCTAATGACAGACTAAAGCAATTATCACTGAAACCAAAGAATTTGCAGATTTGTTTTGTGGATGACACAATGCTTAGCGATGTTGAAGGAGATGAAGACAGTTGTCTTATAAAAGAGTATATAATCGAAAAACAGGAGGTTTCTGACGAAGAGAAACGTGATTCAGGCTGCGTGGCTGGTGATGATGAAATGTCAGAATCTTTCAGCATTAAAACTGTGCCACCAGAAATGCTGGAGAATCATGAAATATCGCAGGAGGATTCTGAAAAGGTTTTGCTAGAACTGAGTAAACAAGAGAGTGAGGAAGACAAAAGTGAAAGTTGTTCAACTGTGATGTTGGGTTGGACAGAAGAGCGGCTAAGCGAACTGACAATTGGTGAACTCAGAGAACTCAAGAAAAACATGGCTCAGTTAATTGAAGGTAAAGTTAAAACGACTGTTGAAATTTTTTGTTCCCAATGTGTGGCTTCATAGCTCAGTTGGTAGAGCAACGCACCGGTAACGCAGAGGTCACGGGTTCAAATCCCGTTGAAGCCCTTTTTTTTTCAATTTTTTTTTTTCAGGTTTATTCTTTCCAATTGCTTAAATTGGAAAATTTACTGCGATGATCATTCTTCACTTTCATCTACAACCGCAGTTCAAAATGAATTATTTCATATATACTTCACATCTTTTCTTCTCTCTTAACATTTTTGTTTGCTTTGCACAGTGTGAAATCTGTAGTTTTTTGAGTCAGAGATTTGTCAAACAGAAACTTATTTTCTTTCTCTGCCTAGTATTTTACATGTAAAACACTGTAATTTTATCTTTACTGAGTTTTTATACAGTTTTCTGTTTCAGCTTACTTATGAACAGTATATTTCAAACCTTTGAGGTTTTCTTTACTGTACAAGACCGTGAACACCAGAAATATTCATGGAATGTCATTGTGTTGCAAGGTGGGAGGAGCCAACCAGGTGTTGGAAAACTAAACAGCAAGCAACATTGGAATTAAATTTATGATTTTGAGGCTTCCTCACTTCGTTCATTTCAATTCATCATAACTCAATGAACATTCCTAAAATGTTTTAAGTGTTTGCGGTTTTATTAGTTTGACTGTTGAATGGCTTAGCCCACTTAGCCCAAGCAAGCTCTCATGTTGAGGAGGGGAGGATGCGAGTGGGAGACAGATTCCTGTTTTATTTCCCCCACACCCAGTATGGCTAAATGCAAATTCTAACTTATTCTCATTATAATATGGCTTGAATATGGCAGTGTTTCTGCTTGCTTACTAATCACTTGTTTTTCTTGCGGCTTGGCTATCAGAACTCTGCGACATCCAAAGCCCTGTAGAGTGCTTGTCCCCAGGCTATTACCAGTGGTCCTGTGTGGTGTAATTAACCTAGCAAATGGTCCCTGCATGACTTGCAGGCATCCCAGACCTCCTATATTTCCTATTTATCCTATAATTTGTATGGGATGCTACAAAGAGCCTATATTTCAAGAAATCCTCCTATATTTCTTATAAACAGGACTTATTCTGACATCTGCATTTTGCACTGTGAAGCAATTTTGTTGTGAATTAACAAAATCAAAATTCTTTAACAGTGAAAATAGATTAGTATTTTTTTAATTTTTATTAATTTTTACATTTTTATTAATTTTTTAAATGTTTTTTTCTACAAAGAGTCTATATTTTGGTAGAAGATTCCTATATTTTGAACTTGAACAGCCTATTAATTTTTCCTATCAGATTTTCCAAAAAGTGGCTGGGATGCCTGGGCTTGTCATGTGGTCCCAATGAATCTCACCATGTTCTGTGAAAAGACTCATTTTTTAATTCTTTACAGCTCAAAATGAAGTTCTAGTCACTGAATTAATGAACAGAGATAGTCTTCATCTGAGGCAAGATTCACTTCTTATGGATGTAGAAGATGCATCAAAGTAAGTCTCTCTCTTACTACCACATAAATATATATCACTCATCCCTCTAAAGTGTATTTGAGACAACTTTGGATGAGTGGTTCTAAAGTTTCTTCAGAATTAATTTTTCCAAATGGGTGCAGAAAATGATCATTTCATTTTGAGTTTGTTCTTTTATTTATGGTATACTTAGTAACTTGGTGACTGTAATATGATTCAGACTGAAATGGGCACCTTTACACCTGAATTTCCCAAGTTTAAAATAAACATAAGAACTTGGTTGGTAACATTGCCAACTTCACTGATGACTCTGGAAATCCATAACAAAGGTTTGGGCATGTTTGTCCAGGGTAAGCCAAAACATATTGTTGATACATGTTTTTTTTTTTTTTTGGTTGGATGTCACTTGCCATAAAACACTACACACACCTATACTAACATACTAACATAAATCAGTTGGTGGCATGTTTGGGGAGTTTTTGAGTGACTTATGTCAACCGGAAATGGACTTTTTGCACTCTTCGGCAGTGATTTTTAACAAATTCTTGAGCAAATTGACTCTTTAAGAGTAAAGACACTTAGCAATACAAATTTGGTAGCCTCAAGACATATTAAAAGAGATAAAGGCTCACCTCCGGTTGACGTGCGTTGCTTAAAAAACGTTGTTGCTCAAACTCCCTAATCTCGAGTGTTAGTGACGGGCTTGTCTAATACTTTTATAATCCTTGTTTCAGTTTTAACTGATGAACATGACTAAACAACTTTCATGTATTGGGAAGCCACAATTAACTTCAAGACAAATGAACTATAATTTACCGATGTCTCTTAAATTTTAATAAACTGTTAGTAAATTATTTTAGAATTCTAAACAACCACTTGTCTGCAAGACAGGTGCAAAATAATTTATTTTCCAGTATAAATTATTAGGAGATAATTATGACGATCTGAAAGAAGGGATATTTACATCTGATCATTAATAATTAATTTTTGTGATCTTTAATAGGTAAAGAAATTTATCCCAGTACTGACACTAATATTAAACTTAATTTTCGTTACACTTGGTAGTGAGCTGACAATGGTTAAACATAACAGAATGCACATGATAATGTTCTCGCAAGTAATTGATAAAAGTTCTTATAATAACTTAAAAATCTTCCCACAAACTGTATGCTAAACCGTGGGTCTTCTTTCTTACTTGTTTGGCCTTGTGTCAAGCTGTTAAATAATATTATCAATGCTTTAAACTTTTAAAGGCTGGTTTTTGCAAGCGAGGGGGTCAGAATTTAAGTCGTCGTTTGAAGCATAGAACCTTATGATCAAGTGAAAACAGCATTCCAGTTCCACTTACCACTGCGTCGCTTACGATCTTGCATTGAAAACCATGTTGTCGGAGTTGAAAGCGAAAGCAAAAGAACTTAGCCAATCACAAAGCGTTGGAACAAGTATTGTGATTAGTGTATCCTTTCGCTCCTGCTTCCAACTCTGACAATTTGGTTTTCACTAGATCGTAAGTGACCGATTTGTACTATAAGTGGAGTCAGAAGAAAATAGAAACGTTGTGATTTTTCCGACGCCGATTCCGTCGCGCTGATGACTCCTCTCACGACTCCATTCGATTCTTTATTTTCTTTAAGTCGTAAGTGCTCTTACGACTTCGGTAGTGAGAGCCAGCCTTAAGTGGGTGATGCACACTATCACAGATGTACTGTCTGTATTGTTAATCAGTCAGCGAGAGAGAAGGACTGTGCATGGTAACATAAAAATTGTCAGTGTTCTTTGTCAGTTCTTTGCTTTGGCCTTGTTATCGTCAAACCTTTGCAATTATTTTCAGCATTTAATTTTATCAAACTGTAAACAGGGCAACTATAATTATCAATATAATATGTTTTCTTATCGACAATTAAAATTAACAATCATCTTACTATTGATTACTACGCCAAGAGTAAAATAAATGCCGCACTACTTACAAAGCACTTTAATATACTTAATGTCATAGCTCCCTGTGCCCTTCTTTAAAAGGGCAAAATCATGTGGTAAATAAGAAATTATATTAAAGATTAACTATAAGCTAAATTAACAATAATCATCGCGAAAATATAATATAAACATAAAACTACCGTTATATTTGTCAGTGAAACCATTTAACTGCTTATTATTTTTGTTGCTGTTGTGTGTATGTTGTCGTCTTTATTTCTCACTTGTTTTTGTTGTCACTTGCATCAGAAAAGTCAAACGTCTCCGACTGAAGCATCATTCCCAAATCTGACCTGCTCTGTGATCTGGAATGTGCCTGTCCGCCTGTCCTGCTGGCGCTCAAAGTTGATTTTCTATCTCTTTTGTTCAGTACAAGGCTCAAGGCTAAACTTCTGTAACCAGTGGCTATCAAAATGTTATTTAGTTGAGAATAATACGGTCATATCTTTGTTAATTGGCACATCTAGACCGAACCCTCTCAAATATAGACATCGTCGCGGTTATTCTTCAGTCATCTCACTTCATTGGACACTGCTAGGCGCACTACTTACGCTCCTTGTGACGGGCACTTTGTGTCAGTCCCTAAACATTGCCTATCATAGAGAATTGACTGTACGACGAAATAATATCATGAAATTATATCTCAGTTTGTTGGAAAGCCACCCTGCTAGCAGTCTTTCTTTCACTTGTTCGATTTTGGCGTACTCGAGAATGACTGCATGAATCGAGTAAGATCTTTGTCGAACGTGTGCTAGGCCTAATAGCCATGTGCTTGGTGCAGAGGGCTCACTTATGACCATCGGTTTATCAGTGAATGAATGCACGCACTCGGGATAGAGAACAACTAAACTAGTCCAGAACGTCTGGCTTCTCTGACTTCAAAGGCTTGACTCGATTCAGACAGAGCCTCCTTTTCGCTAGCCTGCGAACAGGAGACGTATTTCCTGTGGTCTCTCGGAGGAAGATAAGCGATGACCAGAAATACGTCTGCTGTTCGCAGGCTACCTTTTCGCCTCCTCACTCAAGAAGACAAAAATGAGGCTCTAATCGCAGTGTGTTTGAAAGCCTGGAGAGGAGAAAGATTTTCTGACTAGAGAACCTTTTTAGAAGTGATGTAGCACCTTACAGTCCATGTAGCAAGGATACGAGTTGGCCTTGAGCCCTGTAAGGTGTATTTGTTGTTGTTTTATTTCATATTTCTGTTCTTTATCTTGCACAGACTAGCACAAGCACAATATCAGAGGTCACAGAAAGTCAGAAAGAGATAGCTCACCACAGCACTGCACTATTGCACTTGCACAAAGAACGCTTAGTTTGTTTTACTTAAAAAGACGGTTATTGTTGGTTATTATTAATTACACATTAAGTGCAAATTGATTCCTTTTCGTATACTCATTCCTTTTAAAGTTCATTCGTCAATTGAGAGATACGACTTAGGGATTTACCAAATAATAAAACTGCGTAGTAATGACTATTTAAGTGAGTTTATGTTTTTGCATTTTCTTTTCTATGAGTTAAATTAAAATTCCTTGAAAAATTGTTTCGGTTTCCAACTCCTAAGAGCTTTGAGGTAGAGCTGTATAGGACACTGGTTAATTCACCTTTCTGCTTTTTTGGGTGTCGCTTTCGTTAGTTCTTTTCGAACTATTAATATTGTCATATCGTAATTAGTTTCTTTAAAATGATTGTGATGATACTAAATGGAACCAATTGCCCTTCTTTAGTAAGCAACATTAACCTGGAATACAGATTTATTTTTTTTACCAACTTTAATGTAAATTGCCAGGACAAATAATGGTTAGATACAGAGTAGCTACAGAAGATTAGATATTACTGAATTATTTTAGGAAATTCAAAGTTATTTATGTTTTGCCTGTGTTTGATTTTGGGGAAAGAACACGCTGATGTTGTGACATATTTCAACGCTGACAAGGTTAAGCTTACATACAAAATGTCTGGCAGCGTTTCAATTAGTAGATAATTAGTTAGATCATTCAATAAGTCAATCTTCATTTTGCTTGTAAACCCAATAAATTATGCGTTTTAACCCTTAACAAGTTTTGGACTCCCTTGCCCCTCTCGTCGAAAAACATTAGGAAATTGGTAACAAAGTTCTGAATACTACATACAAACAATAGAAAACGCTAGCAGGATTAGATCGTGACCGACCCAAAGATTCAGTGGGTCTGTCCTGAACTACTGCAGCATAACTTAACATAACTTAGTGGTACTCTCCTGTGATAGTCGTGTTGGTCTTTGCTGGTATAGCAACTGAATGCGTCTTATCTCGAGTCAAATGCAGGCAGGCGTATAATCCTTTTCTGGCTGCTTGTATCGAGCAGAATCTGTAAATCTGAAAAGAAAACAGTACATAAATTGGAAGAATTACAGGAAAGTTGTTATTGGCCCTAAATACGTGAAAAAACTAATAAAACTAATATCAGATTGACGAGCATGGCAGCAGTAAGACCTTTAGCATCTTTATGTGATGAGTAATTGTGAGCTGAATCGACCACGTTTCCAAATAGAAACGTAAATTTTAATTCCTACTTTATAAGTTTCTGTTAGTTTTCCTCTCGGTAGAGCTTACTAAGATTTGGTTTATTTTTGCGCTCTCGTTTTTTTTTTTTTTCTGCCTCCTTTTCGATGAAAATTGCCTACGGATCAACAAACTTACTGTTACTTACTTATTTGCCATACTTATAGAGCAGCTTTTAGTTGCGGGAAAAGCTAGTATTTTAGCTTATTTTATGCACTGTCTTTAGAGGCGATGTACTGTTGTATTTCTTGAGGCTTGCTGCCTCATAGCCTCCCACGCAAACGTTCTTTTGGTTTCGTCACGCGTTCTTTCCAACGGGGAAGATACGCGTGACAAAGCCCTAAGAAGGAAGTATGTTCAAGAAATGTTGCGTTGCTCCCGATTCGCTTTTGCGTTTCAACACGTGGAAAACGCGCGGTTTAAATAAAGAGTTTTATAAAACAATCAGGATTGTTTTACCTGTAATAACTGATATATCTGAAAGCAGAGTACGAGTGGGTTTTACTTCACAGAATCTCTAATTCCTCTTTTAGTCAGTCACGTGGGTGCATGGTCCGCAAGCCTCTGGGAAACATGGGCGGGGGGGGGTTACGAGGCCCTATTAGGGGTTAGTGGGATACGGGATAACGAGATAAAAGATTGACGGGATTTGGGAAAAAAGTCAGAGATATACGAAATATTGCGACAAGACATTCTGAGATTTCACTCGTCAAAAAGGCCTGTTCTGAAGGAACAAGAGTTTTAACGATCCGTAAGGAAGACTACAAAACTAGTAGACAAAGACTCATAAATGAGCATTTTTGCATAAAATATTGATAATAGCCCACTTCGGAAAAGAGTGACAGCCTGGGACCCAAACTAAGCGCGCGCACATTTATGGGATATTTTGGGGGACAAAGTGAGCAGCCAGCTTGTATTACGACGAGACTTGCAAGTTGCTGTGTGCCTTTGTGCACAGGAACTCCCCTGGTCTGGAATTTTATAGAATACCAAAGACAACACGTATCCAGCAAGAATATGTAAGTTTGTTTCGGAACGCTAATTTGAAGTTGAACTCCGATAGCACACGGATTTGCATTCTTCTAGTTTTTCTCGAAGTAAAATCTCCAGGGCACATCTTCCTGAAGCTTCACATTTTCATGTTTTTTTTTCCTTTCGATTTCACCTTCCTTTTTGCTATTTTGAGCTGTTTTAACTCCACTTACATTTTAACCTCTGCTTTCCCCCATGTTTGTTTACATACGTCCCCCCAAATAATCCCATAAATGCGCGCGCGCCTAGTTCGAGTCCCAGGCTATCATATCACTCTTTTCCGAAGTGAGCTATACTGAGCCATTTAGATAGCCTTGTCCGAGAAAACGCCTCTTCTTCCTTCCAAACAACGTAGGGATAAAAACTAAGCATTGTAATTAACGGGATACAAGACATGCAGAACTCCCTAGAGTTCACAGAGCTAAGACTCAAAAAACGTCAAACTGGCGCCTCCAACGTCGTCCCCAGGGCTTGTCGTTTCCTAATATAGCGGCAGAAAACAAGAAGACCCTGGGGACGATGTTGCCCACGCCCATACAAAAATGATGATAAGGATCTGCTTGCTTGAAGTCGGTAAAGTGGTAATGTAAACCATTATTGAGGGCCATTTTACATTTCTCACAACAAACAAACCCAAGTTACTTCCCTCTAGGCAGACTATTTGGTATTTCTTATTTTTATTATAATAAACGAAAGGAATCTCTTCTGTCTACACTGGCATTATGTCAAGTTAAGTCACTCCAGGGCTACAGAGTACTCCCCAAAGTGATGTAAAAATTTGAATTTGTTTTGGCACTGGAGGCCATTTTTGTATATTAATTTATTGCAATCACTAGCTGTATATCACAGAAGCTATGTAATTATTGTTACCAATTAGCTGCCTGCACAAGAGGCTTGAAATAAAATTACTGTTATCGAACTGATGAATAGTTGGTCTTTTCATTGTCGTTACCAGTCTCTGCATGCGCCAGGAAGTGGTCGCCAGGCAACATAACAAGGTTGCTAAGCATCATGTTTGGTACATCCAACCTTGCCTAGTCCTTGTTCGGCGTCTTCACAGGCCTTCTCGGTCATTGCATTTCTCTGACGTACCCCAGACGAATCGAAACGTCTTTCTGAAGTTTAAGGACGAGATACGAGGGATACATTGATTGTTTCTCTTACTTTCATGAATGAAACCACAGAAATAAATCAATTTTTCATCCTCGAATGTTTTTCGTCTATATTATATGCCCCTGCTGAATCAGCCTCGGAGTAACTGAAATAATTGATAATTTATTTTCTCTTAACTGGGCCGATTTTACAGAAACTTTAAATATGTTCAACCGAAAAAACACCGTTGTTTAGAGCATTGCGGGTAATCAAGCCGCTAAAATCAAAATACGGTATGGCGACAGGCGTGGGATTATCGCTTTTTGGACTGGCACGGTATCGAACCCGCTTCACTTGTCGATGAGATCACTCCATCGCCAATATATAGAACCGCATCTGATAATTTTTCAGGATAACATTGTTGAAATTCATTTTCAAGGTGGAAATTTTCGACTAAGTGAATCGCAATTAAAATAGAACAAAAGGGCCTCATTTAACAGTTAGCTCCCGTCAGCGATTTCTAAACAAGAGAATAGCAGCTTTGAATTTCCGTTTTGGGATTTTAATTTAGCTGATTTGCACTTCATCGGTGTATAAAGTCAGCACCAATAACAAACAACATGTTAACTAATATGAAATTGCAGCAAAAGTACGCTCTTTTTGGACTGCCCTAGGCTAAAGAATGATAGCTGCTGGTGACTTCAAAGACCCATTTCCTCTAGGCGGAAAAAATATTGTTATATCTGATGAAGGATGTTATTATAATTTCTGTCAATAGACTACTTGTCAAATAGAATTTGATTTCTCTCCCACTCCATGCGGAGGTCAAAATTTTTCGTAATGTTCAATTTGTAATGTTCCGAATGTCTTTGACGTAATAAGGGTTTACCTTCATAAAAAGTATTCCTGAAAACGACCTCAGCCTTGGTTACAGTGAAGGGAAACAGGTCGGCATAAAAAGTCAATGATTTGAACTACATGCAGCTGTATACTGTTTAAAAGCGACTCATAATAATTACTTTGCGTAGATGTTTTCTTTGCTGACATGTTTCACTGAAAGCTGTCTCCTCTTAGAAACAAAATGTTGTCTAAGGAGTACAAATCTTATAGCACGAATTTTAGTCGTAAAAGAGACTCTTACATGTACGTTAGTCGCGAAACTCTTATTGGAGTTTCTTTTTCGATAATATGTTTTTTTTATAGTAAGTTTAACTAATCATCTAATTGACGGGGTCATTAATTTTGCATTTTCGGTTCAACTTAGTGTTTAGTACTTTGGTTCCTTAATGTCTTCCAACCAATTTTGCAAACACGCGGGACTCGTAATTTAATACTCAATCACATATGATAAATGACCACTCTGATTTCTTTGCTCGACTTTCTCTATCTGATCGAAGCGGACATGCATTTTCGTTATTGCAATATGAGGTTAAAATATGCCAAAGAAACCCGAAAAACGGATAATATCCGCCAAACGTGACATAAGTTGGACAAAAAGTTAATTAGAAAGAGAATAATTACTACAGCAATTATTTATTTGGGTAAGGAGGTACCATAGATAAAAGCCACAAAGTAACGATGATTTTAAAAAGTCGTTTACCAGAAGAGCTCTGAAAGCTGGGTGTCGATCTTCCAAAGATTTTTTCGATAAAACATAAGTTACAGGCTTGAAAAAAGGAAACAAACCGGATAAGATCGTTTGGACATTTTTTTTTTGGCGATCTGAAACTGTAGCCTTTAGGGTGAATAGCAGCCGCTTTGATCGAGTAGTACTTCTATGAACACCATGAACACAACAAGCTTTGCAAGTGAGATTAGCTGCAGCGCTAGATTCTCCTTGGAATCAGGTACGATCCTTATTTGTCTGAACAGTCTCTCCAGCGCGTTTTGCCTATTCGGAAATGGTATTGTTTTGATCGCGATCTATCAAACAACAACACTGCAAACTGTATCAAACTTTTTCATCGCTTCCTTGGCCGTCGCTGACGTGTCCGTGGGCCTGTTGATGAATCCGATACTGATTTCAAAAGTTGCGCTGGATCGGTGGCAAGGGAATCATTGGTTATCAAAATTGGCAGATTTTATGTGGATTCAAAGCACAACAAGCACCACATTTAATTTATGCGCAGTTAGCATTGACAGATATGTGGCTATCACGTCTGTGTTCAAGTACCACAGGATTATGACGCGCAGAAAATGCTATGTAGCATTGACTGTCATCTGGCTCTTTTCCTTCATATTTGGCTCAGTAAGACTTACCATCAATAACCCGGCTAGACTGCCAAGGCTTTGGATTTCAACGACGATCCTAACAGTTATCGTCCCCCTGTTTTTAATCGCATTTTGCTATCTGCAAATATACTATGTAGCAAGAGCGCAGTGCAAAAAGATCGCGGAACGTAAATTAAGCGCCGAAGAGGCGCGAATATCCGCCAAAAACCGCAAAGCCGCTTGGACGGCGGCCATAATTATTTCATTGTTCGTAGTCATGTGGATACCAAGTTTCATTGCATCCTGTTTAGAACTTACAACAGTTGATCGTTGTAAGAAATTGCGAATTGACTTTGCGTGGTTCTGGCTCGCCTTTTTATGTTTTTGCTCGTCAGCGATAAATCCCTGGGTCTATACCATAAGAGTACCAGAGTTTAAAAATACTTTGAGGAGAATCTTGGGTCGAACTCGTTTGAAAAGAGAGCTTTCAAGGAGCATTGCGGCCAGCTTTCGAAACTCTAAAAGCGTGTCATGATTAATCACTTCTCGCAAGCTTTCAAGAATAACGAAAGTATAAAGACCACGATGTATAATGCGAGCTTATCTCGTCAGATGGTCATTTCTGTACTGTAATTAAGATGTCTAAAATGTCGAAGTTGGTTGTCAGCTGTCAGTAACGTCTTAAAATTTAATTGAAAGTCTAAGTATTTCGTTTTGAAGAAAAAACAAAGAATTGAGATTGTTAGAGGATAAGACGTCGAAGACCCCTAAGCGATCTGCAATGCCCACTCGGAGTTGCCTAGTTCCTGGGCCTTATTATTCCGCGAGGCCTATGCGTTTTGGGTCACGTGGACCGAGCAAGTTTTTACGACGCGCGGAGCACGACACACTGCTAACCAAGGCAATGAATCAAACAATGAAGAATGGTTAACAATCTTATGCTGTGCAGCTACGCTTAGAAAAACATCAAACTCCGCCATAGGTAAAAACATTTGAAGCATTGATTTACTTTTTACGCGTTATTCGTAACATCGTAACAAACTATGACGCTCAACGGAGACGAATCATCCTCACTTGCCTGTCCTTTCTCTAATGCTCTTTCTTCTTTTTTCCAGTAACCGCTAAGAAAATTGAGGAGGAAACAATGATGATCCCATCAAGTAAAGCTTTTGGATTATACTTTCTCCCTATCCGAATCTTAAAACTTACTAGCGAGTCATATTTAGTTATCCTCTATCATTCATAATAAACAATTCAGTTGAAATCGCCATCTATCCTTCCAAACTAAAGCATGCCAAAGTGATACTTGTTTTCAAAAGTGGTGATGAGACCTTCCTTCCAAGCCAAGAATATCGCTCCTTTCCGTTTTTAACCGAATTTTCGAAAAACTCATGTATAATCGTCAAAATTAAAAGCCTATCTGGATAAGCACCGCGTATTTTGTAAATCTTAGTATGGTTTCCGTGATACAACAGGCCATTCTAGACATAATATGCCAAATACAAACAAATATGGATCCCAATTTTTCTCGTGCGGTATTTTATAGATCTACGAAAGGCATTCGATACGGTCAATCACTCTATATTACTAGAAAAACTGAAGCACTACTGTATTCGAGGCATTATCAATGAGTGGTTTTCGTCATATCTGACAGGCCGTGCACAGATAACTCAGGCTGGGCTTGAAATACGGACAAGGCAGTCTCGTTATCGGGTGTCCCTCAGGGTTCGGTTCTAGGACCATTACGTTTAGCTACGTTTCGTACTATATGTTAACGATATGCAAAATTGCTCCGATAAAGTTCTACCTTTTCGCTGATGACACAAATCTGCTGTACGCTGACCGAAATTTAAAATCTCTCGAGACAGTCGTTAACTGTGAACTTCTAAGCGTATATAACTGGTTAATTGCAAACAAATTATCGCTAAACATTGAAAAATGTAACTTTTTCATATTTTTAACCGTTATCATAAAAGGCCAAACTACCAACTAAATCTAAAACTTTTCGACCATTATTCATTCACTGATTCATTCCTCTGGAACGCAAAAACTTAGACTAGTCTACGTAAAGTACTTGGGAGTGCTCATCAGTTGTCAATGAAAACAATTTGACTTGGAAGCAATATATTAATCAATATATTAACTTGGAAGCAATATATTAATCTTAAAACGGTTGGCATAGTTGCTAGACTCAATCAGACACTTCGTATCATTGAATACCCTCCAGAGTCCAAACTATTTATAAAGCTCTACTTTCCTCTTGTATTAGTCGTCTGGGGACAAGCGGCCAAGACTCATGCTAACAGCAACTATTTTTGCTGCAAAGGCGTGCCCTTCGTGTGATTTACTTTGGCCATTATACAGCTCACGCGATTCCATTTTTTTGCGTCCTCTAAGCATGCTCTATTTTAAATCAGTTGCTATTCTGATGCAAGGTATCACAAACAATTTAGCACCACATAATATTTTACGTGGCTTATTCAACACTACTCGGATCAAGTACGTGTTTATAACTACGCTAGATCTTCGTCAAGAGGTGATTACGAAATTAAATTTTCAAGACTGGATAAACAAGGCAATCATTTTCAAGATTGGGGGCCACAATATGGAATTGCATACCTCCGAATACTGGAAAAATCCCAAAGCACACCTTTAAAAAGAAAATACATGATTGTTTACCTCAAATCAGTCCTTTCCCAGACAGACGACTATCCTGATCTACCTACCCTTAGTTATTAGGACAAAAGCAACGAACTCTAAATCGTCCTTATCCGCACTCATTCATTATCTTTGCAATATCATTTTAAAAGTATACTTTAAGTTTCTGATTCATTTTCTGTATTCCCTTTAACCTCAGCATTGTTTTTAACGTAACGTTCCTTTTGCTCTTTAGAATTTGTACAATTTATATCAAATACCTTTCTTGACTTGTCAATTGAATACAATTTGGAGTGCGTATTTTGTTTTATATACTAGACACTGCCCACCTAGACTAGCCTTTGCTATTTGTATGACAGTGAGAAAATAAAATTGTAAATCTGAATTATCCAATTAAAAAAAAATGAAATGAAATGAAAACTCACAGAGCAAGAAGCGATCTATACACATAATAAGGGTAGAACTCCGCGAACACGGGCAATAAAGACAGCGTAACAAAACTTGTCGAAACTGGGAATTAACTTGAGGCCCTCATGGTGGTCATTTTCGTCCTTACAAGGCCAAAAAAGAGGGGTTCTAGGGACGACTGATGGGAATGATCTGTTGGTCAAGAAGACCCACCTTGCGCAAGCCCAATTCCACAGGGAACCTACCTAACTAATTGTTACTCATCTGGGCCGCAATAAAATGAAGTCGCTTGGAGTTTTTAAACGGAGCTCATTCACTACCTTCTGTGCCATTTTATTGCAAAGTAAAAATTATCTTTAACCTCAAGTTACTACCTTACTCATACATTGGACGTCACTCGCTATGGCATTGACAAAGAGACGTTAACGTTCCGTCCGGCACGGCGCATATCTGATTAATTCAAATCAACATTTTGCAGTCAGCTCCCTTTACAACGGACAATGTAGGGACCTTGAGTTAGTGTCCTCATTAGCGAGAACCCGCGGTAATAGCGGGAGTTTACTCAGTCAAACTGTTATGTTTGCCAGGGATTTAGCTGCTCTCCGTATTATCGCGGTGTCCGTTAAAGTGGAGTGCCTGCAACGCGAGTGTTGACTGTACTAAATGAGGCTGAGTAGGATGTGAAGAAATATGCAGATCGAGGAGGATGTTATCGGCCGAGGCGGATAACATCCTCTAAGATATGCGTAATTCTTCACATCGTACGAAAGCCAAATCCAATAATTGTTTGATTATTCATTCGAATTATTTCTAAGTTTTGAACAAGATTACCTCCTCGAAGACTTTCTGCAAACCTTTGGCATGTTTCTCGGCACGGTTTCAAAAGCAGATGTTTTTCCTTTCAACTCCTCAAAAAGTAGATAAAATCCACCAAGCGATATGTTTAGCGTATTTTTGTGTTTGCAGATTTAGTTAGAAATCAGCTATTTCGTCTTGAGATAGCCGTGAACACCATTTGTTTTCGCTCACTCATGAATTAACAACTTAGCGGCTTGGCGATGGTCTTTTGCCCTACCAGCCTCGTTTCCAATGAAATATACCATCAATCAACCTCGTTGCCAATCAAACATACCAATGAATCGATGGTATATTGCTCACATCTTCCAAATATGGTAAGCTCCTGTTGTTCGTGAAGGATAAACCGAAGAATTGGAGCCAATCAGAAACGGCGAAATATTTCGAATCAATAATAAAAATTGTTATCGTCGACGTTGTTGGAAATTGTGACAAACTTGAGTTGTGGACCTCGGTTCCCTTATCCTCTCTCTTTGGTTTTTAATCTCAGGTACAATTATTGTTCATTCAAAATATTTCTCTGTTTCTGATCGGCTTTTTAATCAGCTCATTTTGACTAATTTTGGAAGATGTTTGCTGATATCAACACAATTGCATGACATCAATTGTACATGTACGGCTGATAATCGACAAAAAAGCATAGTGGAAAGCCCTATTAGTAGCAGTCAGCTGTTTTGGTAAAACCGTAGCCTGTTTCAGGCGCCGAGATAGTCGGGTCCGTGAATATGAGAAATTAGGGACTTTTTAAGATCCAACGACGCGGACGGCAACAAGAACGTCAAAAAAAAAAAACAAAAACAAAACAGAACAAAATGTTTAATAAGCAAAACAACAACTTTGCACGTGCGTCACGCTCTTTTGTACATTTCTTCGCCCGTTTTCGCACGACTACGACGTGAAAATGTCTAATTTCGCGTTTTATGGAGGACGTAAACAAGCAACGACAAAATTTTGTTTCTGCTGCTGTACTTGGATATGGTCTCTAGGAATTCAACTCCTGGAGGGTTCGCCTGCATTTGACAAAGTAAGTGGATAGGAACAATTTCGATAAAGACTGAAAGAACCCAAATTCACTTTTTACGCGACGTTTTCGTTGCCGTCGCGTCTTTGGATCTTAAAGTCCCTATTGAGAAAGCGCCAACACGAAACTAAAACGGGAGGAAACTGGGGAGAGTAAGGGCCCTCCCTTCCTTTTTCCCTTCATGCACCGCTCCCTTATCCTAGGGCCAGATCACGCACTCACATCTTCGCGTGCCTTTCACTAACGCGTCATCCCCACTATCTGAGAGCCTGAAACAGGATAGTAAAACCAGAGAAGAGAAGATTTTAATGCACTCGTTTTGCGACGAGGAAAAAGCCGAACTACTGCCAAAGAACATAACAAGAACAGCTAAAATGCAACTCGAAAATTACTAACATACATCTGCTAGAGTAAACATATTAACTTTATATCCTGATTTGCCAAGAAACAGGGAAACGATATGGGCCCGGTTCCTTGAAAGATGGCTAATTTTAACCCAGGATTAAGTGTAATAGGCGAATTCGAAATGGATTTTATCAGCAATGATGACATAACTTCTGTTTTATGCAAACATGTAATGTTGCTTTTTGTGACCACCTCCAGGTCTGAAAACGGGTGTGGAAAATGAATTTTTTTTGCCTGAAACTGAGGGTCAGTATTTGGAGAACCGGGCGACACACCCCCATCAAGAATTCCCTGGAGTACCCCCCTGGGGGAGAAGCAAAGGAATTTATGTGTTTTGCTTCCCCTACCCAAAGCGACATCACAGTTTCTTTAGCATTCATTTGTTGTATAGTTTATGGCACTGATATCCGCACCTCCTCCTGGCTCCAGTCTTCAAGTAAGCTGGTACCTGTTTTGTAAAATTTTACTTACCGTTGGTTCTCTTTAAGTTCAACGACCGTGGTCATGATCTCTGATGTGAGGGAAAAGAAGATCTACACCATACTTTCTTTGCTACTGTTGTTGTTGTTGTTTATGCTTTATTACAACTTTTTGTCACACATTTACATACAAATTATAAACAACAAAACAAAAAAAGATACAAAAGTCACAAAACTATCGTTAATCTTATACATGAACAAAAGAGGATAAACGACGAACAAAAGGCTTAATGGGTGGGGATCCCAGGTAAGTGAGGTAACATGTGGCTGGTCACCCCAACTATTATGTAAATGCCACCAAATTAAAATGAGAGATTATATGGACGGGCGGGTTACCTCACCTAAGCAGGTTACCTCACCTACCTGAGGTGCCCCACCTCCATGTAAACAGCCCCTAACAGAAGCAGTATTCATTATAGCAAGAAAGGAAGGCTAATACACACAAAGGAATTATCAGTGGTATTAGGGTGAGTAGCGCCAAAAGAGCTAGAGAGTTGAATTTTTTAGACGCCGTTGAGAAAAATCCATTATTTAGATCGATATTTGTTTGCTATTTTCAAAAGTATTGTCAGAATTATTGGGTATAAAACATTTTCGTTTGAACATGACATTTGGTCTCGTTCACATCAGAGTATATGATCATTAATGACATCAAAATCGTAGGTGAATTATTTCCCACTAATGTGTTGGATTGCTTTCCTTGCGGGCTAATTATTGACCCTAGGTTTTTGTCGTAAGAAAAAAATTAAAAAAAGATAGCCTGTCGCCTTTTAATTGGAAATTTGCAATTGAATAGAAAAAAAAAATCGCTTATACAATAATTATCATGACAGTGGCTGGAAGTGCCATAAAACTGTTTACTCTGTGTGAAGTTTGCATTTTTATGACGAGTTTGCATTTTAAGAAGCATAAAATATGTATGATTATGTTGTTTTGCTTCAGGCAATATCTTCCAAATAACTACAAGCTTTGGCAAATACCCATATATATTTTTACATCAGTCTAAATCGTGTCCAGCATTTTATGGGATATTAATTTTAAGTTAGAGTGACCGTCTAGATTTATTTTGTTTCAAATTACAGAACCTGCTGCTGGGTTTTGATTGGTCAGATGCGATACGTTCCTAGATTATCATTTGATAAACGTCGAGTCGAGACTGGCAAATTGATGATAACTCTTTGCCGTCTAATTTTATAAAGTCATTGTGGTGAAATCTGTGTCTTTTAGCAACTGGGAAGACCAGATTAGCTTCAAATTTTCCAATACAGTAGCTTGTGAACAGCATCAGAATCCTAACAAACAAGACTGAAATGAATTCGAACCAAACATTCGTCAGCTTTGCTGACTCACCAGAATTTATCACCCTGGCTTTGTTAAGTTGTTTTTCTGGCATAATGACCATTGGAGGAAATGCAGTTGTTTTAATCGCCATTTTCAGGACAAAAACCCTCCATTCAATTTCTAATTTTTACATTGCTTCGTTAGCTGCAGCGGATTTGTTAGTTGGAGCTATTCTTAACCCTATCTTAGCAGTTAAAGGTGTGCTTATCTATCTCCATCCCGATCCTCAGTGGCTTAAAGCGGGATCTGTGTTCGACAAGATAGAAGATTTCGCTTGGATTCAAGCTGTTGTTGCCTCAACCTTTGGATTAACAGCTATAAGTGTTGATCGTTACATAGCTGTAAACTTCGGCTTACGATACGAGCAGCTGTCATCTTTAAAGCACTGCATTATCGCTATCGCAACTGTGTGGGTATCCTCTTTGATCTTCGCTAGTGTTCGTCTTTTCCTGGGTAATAAGCTAGAGCATTTATCCATTCTCTGGGTCGTCACGGCCATCATAACTTGCATCTTGCCGTTTGTGATTATAACTTTCTGTTACGTGAACATTTTCAGAGCCGCCAGGCAGCAAGTTAGAAGGATTCTGAACGAAACATCACTTCCATCAAACGCGCAGAACGCGTGGAGAAGAAGTAAACGTCTTCAAATAAGCCACCAAAAAACAGCTTTAACCATCGGTATTGTTGTATTTCTGTTTATCGTTCTTTGGATGCCAAGTCTTGTAACATCAATGATCCAGCTTATTTTGTCAAGTTCCCAAAAAGCAAAAGATAAAGAAACTTTATTAATTATAGAGCGAAAAATATGGTTGTTGGTTTGTTTAGTGGCTTATGTAAGTTCCGCCTGCAATCCTTGGGTTTACTCCATCAGATGTAGACAGTTTAGGGTTGCTTGCAAGCGAACTTTTAAATGTTTTAATTCCCTTCGTGCTACAAACAGAGTCGAAACTATACATCTCGAATGGGCGACGTGTGAAAAGTGAGTTGGACACCAGAGAATTTTGTTACATGTATGTTTTGAGCCGTTCACATCTTTGAAACGATGTTTTCATGCTGCCCGCGTGTAAAATAATTTTTAATTAGTAGTCAAATTTTTAAGCAGGCTTTTTTGTCAATATGTATTTTAATAAAAGTTGTACCTTAGATCTCCTAGATTCTCTTTTTTAGTCGTCTTGTGGCCGGTTCGAAAATTACTTCGACTTGAGATTCATTTACGTATTTTAGGCTTTCACAGTTTTGTGACAGAAAAAATATTACTTTTTTGGAAGGATAAAACTGGGTTGAAGTTGCTCTACAGAACTACATACAGTGTCATTTTGGAGGGTGAAATTGAAATAGATGTACAAAAATTGGTATATGTTATCCAGGGTTGTTTAAGAAAAAGATAATTCACCGTTATAGATTCAAAACAGCTGTTAGACCATGAGTCAAGATCTTTCTTTCATAAAAGCCATACCACAGGCGATCTCATTTATGTCTTTGACAAGATCCGCCAATTTGTCTTCTCCAGTACACTTCCGAACCCTCTATTTGTTCAATTGTTGGACAACATGCCTTATGATTTGTTAGTTCCGTTTGGAAGCTTCTGGATTTTTTAAGTTAACTAATTTGATACCCAGTTTAGTCTGCAATCCATGGACATGCGAGTTTTTCGACAAGTTTCATTATTTTCGCGTAGAAGACGACCAAAATTCTTTTTACTAAGTTTAACTGGATATTGTGATTGCAAACGAGCAATTTCCTTTTCGTTTAATGACAAGTTCCAGTTGCTTGTGAAGATGTTATTCAGCTTCTTTGACGTATCAATTTTAAACAACAAAAAGGGTTTCCTTTTTCTTTTTTTTTTAAAATACGTACGGCAATGCTCCCTGCCTTGAGAAGGTTAGCAAATTTCATTCATTCAAGGTGAAAAGTAAGATATATATGTTGTCAACTAATGTCAATAAACAAAAAGGTGTCCATGAAATACAATGTAGCGACAGACCTAGAACAGAGCGTTTTTGTTGATTCTTCCATAAACTGCTATTTCGGCCGGACATTAATTAATTTATCTCGCTGTTTAAAAGAAAGCCGCTTTTTCAAACTGCGATTACTTAGCCGCTTTATATTTTCTGCTGTCTTTTTGTGTAGCACCTTGAATCTTAAACACCATTAGCATAATAGTGGCGGATTAATTGCTTCCTGTCACTAATGCGCTTAACCAAAGGTTTGTTTCATAATATAACGACCAATCTTAATCCGATTCAAAACGTTCCGGGCCTCATAAAAGCGTTTTTCCTGATGAAAGAGAAGAACTGAAAGGAAGAAAAATCTATGAGTTGTTTCCGCTTTTTCATTATTGGTGAATTAGCTAATTTGCCCTCGATGTCAACTCTTAGCAAATTAGCTAATTTGAATTCATTGGAACGAATTTTAATCTCTTACAGGTAATTTAAGAAAGGAGAAAACCATTTGAGCGGCAAATATTACTTCTACTTAGTATTTTTTTTTTATATATTTATAAACCACTTAAAATGTAAAAGGATTGCGCGAATATTTTTTCCAAGTTTCTTGAAATTAAAGAGTTGACATTTTGCCCACAGAAATACTTTTTGTTTCATAAATGATGTACTGTGCAATTCATGTCTAACAAGAACGCGCTTACAACGGTATTCCGTTTCGCTTTGCTTGGACATTAGATCGAGAAATGAGGAGGCGATTAATTCTATGCGAAACAGGATTTACTCGCTAAAAGTTTTTTACTTCCTACTTAATCGACGTCGATACTTTTGTGGCTATATGGCCGGTAACCGGTCAAGGTTTTCAAAACACTAAATGACCGGCAGTCTTCTATTCTCAGTAAATTTCACAAAATCGAAAAATCCCAGCTTATCTAAATTATCATATGTCGATTAAGAAAAGTCAAGCGATCCTGAAATGCTTTATAGATTTCAAGTCTAGCGTTTGATTTACGCTGGACTGACAGAAGACGAAACCATGTTTTGTGGCACTTAGAACTTTTTTCAGCTCGACTGCGGGTCAAGGTTTTCAAAACACTAAATGACCGGCAGTCCTATATTCTCAGTAAATTTCACAAAATCGAAAAATCCCACCTGTCTAAATTATCATATGTCGATTAAGAAAAGTCAAGCGATCCTGAAATGCTTCAAAGATCTCAAGTATAGCGATTGGTTTTCGCTGGGCTCAGAAGACGAAACCAATTGTTTTGTGACACTTAGAACTTTTTTCAGCTGCCGGTTAAGGTTTTTAAAACACTAAATGACCCTCAGTCCTATATTCTCCGTAAATTTCACAAATCGAATTCAAATAATCCAGCTAAACCAATCTATCATATGTCTATTACGAAAAGTCAAGCAAAATGGACTGAGAATATAGGACTGCTGGTCATTTAGTGTTTTGAAAACTTTGACAGGCAGTCGAGCTGAAAAGAGTTCTAAGTGTCACAAAACACGGTTTCGTCTTCTGAGCCCAGTGTAAACCAAACACTAAACTTGAGATCTATAAAGCATTTCAGGATCGATTGACTTGTCTTAATCGACATATGATAGTTTAGATTAGCTAAAATCTTTCCATTTTGTGAAATTTACTGAGAATATAGGACTGCCGGCCATTCAGTGTTTTGAAAACCTTGACCGGTTACCGGCCATATAGCCACAGCGTAAAACGCTACTTTTTACTTCTTTCTAAATTGATTTAGTACGCCTGTTAGCGACGACCAGAGATACGTCTGCGGTCGCAGGCTATACGCGTGTATAAATACACGAAAATTCAGGGGCCTCGATTCCGTAGAAATTACATCATTGCCAGAGATCAAAAAAGGTACTTACATGGCACGTCATTTTAATCATCGCCGAAAATAAATCGCATGCTCATCCCAAGACGATTTGCATGCAATGAAAGTTTACAACACCCGACCATCGCAGTTTTGCTAATTATAAGAGTCTTATTTTTTTTCTACCACTCCCTCAGTAGTGTTCACCTGTTCCAAAGCAATCGACGCTTTCAAGAGATAGAATTCGTGGACCGACACATTTCGGAAAAGCTCTAAATTTAATCTTTCCTAAGCTTTCTTCGCAAAACATGTGTGGCTTCGATCACGCAACGATTCTCAGTCCCAGTTTCCATGGTCTCCGTAAGGAACGCCTGGCAAAATGACCCCCGATTAGTGTACAAAATACGAAGCCCTAGAACCCGGCGCGTGACCGGAGCGCGTGACAAGCTGTTATGGCATTTACACGGTTGGCGTAAACATTAAAAGGGAAATGGTCTTATCGCCAAATGATGAAGAAGTAGCTTCTTCTAAAAAACATACCCAATTCAAGACTAGAGTGCACAAACCATACCCTATTACAGACCAAAATGGTCGAAATTGACCCTATTTCAGACCAAAACGGCTAAAAATAACATACCCTTTGGTGCCGCACAAACCTATATATCCTATATAAGGAAGTACTCTCCCGGGGCGAAAAACTTGAAAAATTTGAAAAAGTTTTCGCGAGTTAAAACTCGACACGTTTACTTTATTTACCCCTTCCTTCGTCGGCGGAAACTTGGAAAATCGTTACAAAGAAGGTGTGTCAATTTTTTTTCGCTCAAGCTGACATTTTAAGCGAGAAAAGTCCGTATTTTGGAAAGCATCTTTTTGCAAAACAAGAACTGATTACGCGTGCAAGACTTTGTGGACAAGACTTTGCAACTGGTAAGAATTTCTCTTTTAATCAGTGCCATACAGAGAGTTTTACGTCTTTCCTCGGGAAAGTTATTTCATAAAAGCAATAGAAAACTTTTTTCCAGTGTTTGCATAGCCTGATATAAACACTCGAGGCGTTCGTAGAATTCTCAACAGTTATGCAAACCCTCGACTTCGTCTCGGGTTTGCATGACTGTCTTGAATTCTCCCAACCCCTCTCGTGTTTATATCAGGCTATGCAAACACGGAAAACGTTTTCTATTGCTTAAATATATCTATTTTACAATTAGGCCTCTTTGCCTGGATTGCATCGCATCTCTGGAATTCAAAAGAAACCTAGCTTTGAAGCCCAGTTGTCATGAAGACATAACTAGAATTGTCACCATATTAGAAGGGTATAGAAGTTAATGGAAGTTAAAAATTCGCCATTTGCACATCTCCCATTCATAATACTCCTTGATGGCCCCCTAAAATGTTGTTCCATATTTCTCCTGGGGGGCGTGATCGACGACTGTAATATACAGGAGAAATGAAAGCAAAACTTTTCCATTTTTATTTTTATTATTTATGTTTGGAAGGGGGAGAATATTAATCTTTTCGGAGTGCCAGCATCTGTGAACCGTAGAAACGCTGCTGCTTAAAGCAGTACTCCGCGGTGGTAATGCATGGTTTTTACGCTCTATCGTCATAGTAGCCTTTTTTGACAAGGGATGTATTCTAAGATCGCTAACAATTAAACTGAACTGTATACTGAGCAGTTTGTCTCTGATTTCTGTGGAGCTGTTCACTAAAGGTCTAAAGGTAAAAGGAGGTAAAGAGTCCTTATTTTACGTCGGTAGTTCAAAATAGTCATCTGACTAACAAACCTGAGGCCGACGGTGCGCTCCGTTTTACCTCCCCCCCCTCCCCTCGTTCTCTCCATCTGTTTACGGGTATTAATGGTACGGAAATCGGGCTCGGGACCTCTCTCACAAAGGGTCGCGCACAAACCAATTGCAGTAATCCGGTCTAATCCTTCCTCCTGTATGTTGTACTCGGTAGCTTTCATGGAGTCTTTAGATGAAATCCTAAAGCGTGAGGACAGTCAGGGCTAGCTCAGTCGGTACAGCCCAGGTACGTAATACGTGTACGTACGTATATGTTATGAAATTTGAGACAATTTTGAAACATCACGAGTGGCATTTATGATAATCCCAAATATCACGTACAAATCATGCTATTATTTGTTTATACTACTACCCTCGAAAGGTTTGTAATTTTCACATGTAGTTATTTGAAATTAAGCTGAAATACCACTGTTCTAAGCCAATCAAATTGCAGAAATTCAGTTCTCAATCCACATGTAGTAGTATAAAACAATGAAAGTCCGGAGCGGAAAAAAGCGCTTCCAAGTAACCTATAACAGTAGGGAACAAAATGATTTATTGCATTGGCTTGTTTTTAATCAAGCTTTAAAACGTCATAATTCATCGATTCATTACTTCGGTTACTTCGGCGGAGCGCGAAGTAAGGGTTTCGCGGCGATCGGGAATGTCCCAAAGTTGCTTTTTTTAGGACAAGATTGGGCACGCAAAATCTGTAGGTTGCTTTTTTTGGTATTATTCGGTGAACTGAGAGCCGAATTAGCTCGAGATATCACGAGATCACAACGATTTCTTTGATTTATTCTTAAACTTATTAGAGGAAGAAAGAATTATTATTTTGGCTTGACCGGGGTTTGAACCGACTCACCTGTGTTACCCGTCAGATCAGAGGAAACTCTTAAGTTGGGGGATTAGCCGATTGCGCCACTGCGACTCAAAGTAGTTTGGAATATGAAAAATAGCTATGAAATTATGCACTAGTTTCGGGACAAGATTGAGCACGCAAGTTCGTGACTCTTCGGCTTGTTACATGACTTCGGCGGAGCACGAACGAAGTAAAGGATTCACGACGCTCAGGAATTGTTTCAAAGTTGCATTCGGATGTTACACAAAACGAGAAAAGTAAGGGTATTTGTATGGCAGGGTATTCGGAAAAATATCATTTATTACTATTCCTCCGCATTCACAATTGATCCACAACCATTACGCCGAAGTGTACGCTCCAATAGCGTCTTGTTGCAATACAGTTAAAAGAGGGTCTAGTATCGGGGTGGGGGATAATCAGGTAATATATTTTTTTGTTTACGGGTAGATGGGCCTATAACGCCTATAACAGGAGGAGGGGCTTAAAAGACTAGATATGAGGGGAGGGGAGGGAAGGGGCTTATAATCGGCATGTTGACGATATTGTAGTCCCATACAAACAGCTACGTTTTTTGGCCAGGGGACTGGTAGGGGTATGGTAGTAACTCATTAATGTCCCCCTTGTACCTCCCTGCAATTTCTTTTGAAATTCAAACCAAGCCTTCTACAGACAGCCATTAAATGTATGGTACGATTTACAGTCTCAGTGATTACTTGGTGTGTTTTGATAACAATTGTAGCCTGTTTCTCTTTCATGTGATTTTCATTTGTTTGTCTTTAATGACGCACAAATGTCAAGTTTGTTTGCTGATATTGAATTAACAATAGTTATTTTCAAGAGTTGACACTTAGTTACTCAATCCATGCTTTGTCATCGACAAGAATGCTCTAAGGCGCTCAGTCCTTTCAACAAGTTTGTACTCTTAAAAAGTACTTGTTCGCCAGTGAATGGATTATTCGACAGGTATTACACATGAAGCTTATTTACCTCAAAAGGGAAATTGTTTTTGCGTTGTATTGAAATCATAAAACTTCCTTATCATTTGCCTCCATCAAAGTGTTTTATACATGCATAACTTATCTTTTCTACCTGTGTTATTAAACCTCAGGAACTGATCGCTTTTTTAAACCATGAGTCAAACTAATACATCTGGGGTCTACGACATGATCACGTCGATTCCTCCGATTGAATCTATTTTCTACGGAATTGCTCTGACCTTGCTGTCAGTCCTCACGCTTACGGGAAACAGCCTCGTCTGTCTCGCAGTTTGGCGATTTAGGAATTTACGAAGCCTGACAAACTATTTGGTGTGTAGTCTGGCCTGCGCGGACCTGTTGGTTCCACTTCTACGAGTGATCTACATTATGATATCTGTGTTTTCAGGTGAATGGATTTTTGGCGAAATATGGTGCAGCATTTCTTCAATGTGTGGTGTGCTCTTATGCGGTGCGTCTATTCTTCACCTCTGCGCGATTAGCATCGAGCGACTGATTGCCATAAAATGGCCTTTGTCGTACAATAATAAAGTTACTCCAAAAAGAATCATCATGCTACTAATCTACATATGGCTACAGTCGTTTTTACTTTCTGTGTTCCCTGCCTTGGGACTTGTAGATCATCGTTTCAACAAAGTCATGGCTGAATGCGAAATACACTGGCTGAAACATCCAACTTTGGTAATTCTGCTTATCCTGTTCTACTTCCTTCTTCCTGTGACAACAATGTTGGTTGCTTATGCGTTCATCTTTAAGGAAGTTCGACGAAATTCTCGACGCATTTCCGCAATCGAGTGCAGTGGGACTCAGTGTTCAAAGAATAAGCTTAAAAGGGAAATGAAAGCTGCGAAAACTCTAGCTGTTGTTGTCGGTGTGTTTTTTATTACGTGGACGCCTTATTTCGTAGTCACCACTATACGCGCTTTTCAAGGAGACAGGATTATCCCAAACGCTCTCCAGCGAACAGTAATTACTTTAGCCTATGGTAATTCCTGTTGCAATTTTGTTATTTACGCACTCATGAACTCTCAACTAAGGAACGCTTTTAATCAAATTCTGAGAAGTTGTATTCGGCATAAACAGTCTGATTTCAATTCCACACAATCCTTGAATATGACCGCAGTTGTTAAAACAACCAAGCGTGCCACTTTTACCGATAAAGCGACTCGATATCACAAAGACACTTCAGAAAAGAATTGTTAAAAAAGTTGATAGCCTTTCAGAGCAGTTCCTCTTAAGTATTTTCTTTTTTTAATAACACTCACATATAGTTTAAGTTTCGTTTTGATTGTGTTTGAATCCCCCCTAAAATACATTTTAAAATAGACTGTCTGCTCAGTTTTTTGCAATCGTTAACCTGATGTTTTTCTGTTCCATCAATAACTCTAGACTGCCAACAGGTGTAAGGTAAAAAATTGTAGCAAGATTATCGTCTTTTCAATTATCACAACCTCTAACAACAGTCAAAGGCTTAAGCTAAATTATTAACAGATTTTAGTAATTTACTCCATTCGTATTGTATCTTAAAAGAGTCTGACCAATACTTTCATCCTCTTATCCTGAAGGAAATGTCATCAAATATCAATTAAACAGTTCATAATAACTAAGCGGTTTTCAAGTCTGTCTCAAAAAGAAGAACAATAAAGTCCGAGAAATAATTACTGTTGCTAATTTAATGAAAAGCCCACGCAGGGTCTAATGAACCAATGAAAACTTTAAGTGACGTTATGAACCTGTGTCAAAAATAAACACAAATAAATGCTTTAGAGAGAAAGAGAGTCATGATTGTAATGGAAATGTAAAAATGTGATAAGTTTTCCTTTAAAAAAACCTTGATTTTAGACTCGATTACCATGCAGCCGCTTTTCGGCAAAATGAGGCCACACGTATCTTTCTGGTGTTTGTATAACCAACCGAATTGTCTCAGTCACAGCTATTCGATTTAATTAACATTCACATCCCCCTGTTGACGAAATTTTCGATATATTAAAATTCATACTTGGCTCCGAGGCTTGGGGGAATAAAACAATAGAAATATATTATTCATTGCTGAGCCTCAAGGTGATTTCTTTTGTTTCATTCCGCCAAGCATCGCTGCCAAGTATGAATTTTAACATATCAGAATTGGTCTATTTCTGAAGATTGTAGGACTGAAGACCAGATTTCCTGGGGAGAGTAACAAAAAAGCAAAATTTCTGAAGGTTGTTAGACTGAGGGCCAGATTTTCTGAGGGTTCCAGGAGAAAAGCAAAATTTTTCTTTTACAAAGCTATTAGACTCATAAGGCAAATTTTCTGAGGGGATAAATGTTCATCAATGAATATTTCTGAGGCTTTGGTGGAAAAAAGAGCATTCCTGAGGGTTAGCAAAATTTCAATGTCCTTTGTCAACGGGGATGTGTATCTTATGGAATGGCCCTCACCTCGTGTTCTGACGGATTTGGACAATTCTTTGGAATCAGCCCATTGAATTCACTTCCATTGCTACCGCCCCAGCCTTCCCGATAGTCCAATATGGTGGCCGCAGGAATTTAGAGAAAGAAGCCGCCATATTGGAAAACGAGAAGACCCTGGAGACGAGGTTGGTGTTTCCATATGCCTTTGATCGTCTCGAACGCCGGCCTGAGAAAATTCTGAGAAGATCAGAAAGATAACATGAAAACTAAGCTTAAGAAACAATCAACAACAGGGGTGGTTTATCACTCCTAGGATTTTGTGAGAACTTCGCCAGATGGATGAAGTTACGGACCAATGACGAGTTTATTGTAGTTTTAAATACATTATGTATTATGAAAGCGCTTTGTATATCAATGTTGTGTTTCAAGATCAATATTAAATTGTTCTTTACTTTGAGTATCGATTCGATGAGAATCACTGACATTGATTGCACAAGTGACAACGAATTTCCTTTCTGGAATTACTATGTTAAACCGGTCTGTTTTTTAATCAAACCTTTTCATGGCGGCCATCAGCCGTGACGCTACTTATTTTCATCGCTTTGTACAATTCAGTAGGCCGCTGCTAAAGTCGTGTATCTGTCGACAACAAGCTCTCTCTTAATAAAAATTTCTATATAACGGATACCTAGTAAGTTTAATGGGTGTCTGCCATGTTATTATGGCTTTTGCTCTGACCTTCTATAAGACGGACACCTCTCTAAGACGGACATAGTGCCGGTTCCAGACTTCGGTCTTACAGAGAAAGTTATACTGTCGTGAAAGCTATTTTGGTGCTTCTTGGATGAGGACCTTTCTCGTTATCTTCCAACTTAAAAAGACTTTTCTCAATCTTTTTATCGTTCCATTTAAGCAGCCCCGTTTCTATGGTCAAATCAGATTTCTTTCGATTTGGTTTCTCAGAGCGGTAAAATCCGAGAATTCTCTTGAATTCGAAGTTAAACTTCTCGCAAAAAATAGGGTAAATAAATGGATTGATTGCACTGTTAGCAACACCAAACCATGGCAAAATCAAAATCACTTCAAAAGGAATAAATCTCCAATAAATTTCTGGTGTAAATCTTCTTAGGACTTCTGCTGTATCTAATGGAAGCCAGCAGAGTACAAATACCACCACAATACAGATAAGCATTTTAGTCGGTTTGCGGCGCGTGGCTTTCATTCTTTTAATTATTTCTTCCGAGTGGTGGCCTGGGGCGGTGCTTTTCCACAGCCTCGCTCCTGTGAAGGTATACAGTGTTGCTATGGCTACCAAAGGAAAGATGTAGCTAATCACCACAAAAATTAGCGTGTAATTGCTTGATTTCATTCCACTGTTTTCCCATACTGGAACGCAAACGTGCTTTTTTCCAGCAGCCAAAACTGTCGCGATCACACCTTGTGGAATTGCGAAGGCAATTGCAATCAACCATATGAACACGATGCAACCTCCCAAACGAGGTTTTGTTAATATTTTTTGCATTGGAAAGAACACGGCGCAGAAACGATCAACGCTTATAGCGAAGATGGTGTAAACGGAACCTAAAATTGACAAGGCTTGGAGTGACATAGCCAGTCGACACGTGATCTGTCCCAAGATGCCTCCAAACCAGTCAAACTGGATAAAGAAAAACTTGACAAGGTACAAAATGACTGGTATCATTAATAGATCAGCTACTGCCAGGTTTGCAATAAGAAGATCTATTGTTGTACGTGCTTGTGTTCGGGCGCGGATAACGTGGATAACAGTGGCGTTACCAAACAAATCGAGAATTAAAATGGTGGCTGCCAACACAGTAACAACTATTTTCATGGTAATGCCTACTTCTAGCTCTATAGTGGTTGACTTTGGTGGCGTGGATACACTTCCTGTGGAATAATAAAGATCAGATAATTAGATTCATGTTTATAACTTCTGGCCAAATTGAAACAATGAGTATGTTTTCTGGGAACAAAAATGTAAAGACTGGTGTCAAGAAATTGCTCGTCGAATGAGAGAAGGTCATTGTTGTTTTTTATATATTTTTATTATTATTTGCCACACAATAATAGAAAATGAACTACAAGTAATGTGGGACAAGTAGAAAAAAGAAGTGCAAAGGAGACCAAACAGAAACTATAGGAGCTTATCAGTGAGAGGTTTGGCCTCCTCCAACTACGGGCTAGAGCTGTTTACATCAGGTCGATCTATAGTAGACTATCACTAGCCTTTTTAGTTCGATATATCGAGGTCTTACAAAGCAGGATCTGCAAAGTGTTTCATCGCGCAGGGTTGAACCCTCGGGGCTGATCATGATCAATACTCCAGGACTTAACTGAGAAATAAAGGTACTGTCAGACCCTCCAAACGGCTCGAATGACTCCATGGAAGTTGCGGTACTGTCCAAAGCTTTGATGGATTTGGCACAAAAACATTTTGCCAAAACTGGTTATTACGAGCATAATTTTCATTTGTTTTTCCGGAGAAAAAGGGCTGCTAACATAATTTATATTTTTTACTTGTTCAGCAGCGCAAAATAGGTCATTCATGCAATCAACTTCTTCTACACGAGAGCTTTCGTGTTGATAAGAGTAGTAAAACATCCTAAGAACCGCTTTAGTTCAGCCGAAATTTCTGTTTAATAGTATGATCGTTGTGAGTGTATCCCACTTGTTGCAAGGAGCTTTCAATATGACAATGGAAAAATAACGATTCCATTTTGAGATGTTTTATATAAAGGGCACTGTCTATTACTACATAGGAGAATAATTCTTCAGAAAGAAAAAATTCTTGTTAAATTACCAGACATGTTTCTTTGGCACGTCTTTAATCGTAGCCTGAGAAAGCATGTGACATTTCGCGACGCCATCACTGGTTTCCCCGCGAAATGACGTCAGAGAACTGGGCGCAGAAATTCCATACTGATGACGTGTCACTGCCCAAATTTGGGTAGTGCTTCTGATTGGCTGAAGCCTATGAATGGAGACATGCTAGCCTGCGAAAATTTAGTTCTTTGAAAAGAATCCTTATTGCCTTAACAATTTCAATCGAAGCAGCTAAAAGCTTGAGAAAAGATAATGACATTAACAAACCTGTTGTTGAATTATTCATCTTTGTGTGATAAGCAATCAGCAGCCCTCCTGAAAGATAAAAATTTCTTTTAAGAATCAAAACAAAGATGATGCAAATACAGTAAGAGACAAGTAACGAGTCTTGGCTTCAAGGTAAATAATTTAACCCTTTCTGCCGTTCCGTGAGAAAACTTCCCTTCAGAGCGACCAAAAAAACCCATTTGCGCTACATGCGTTCACACATTCCTACTTACCGAGAATCATTAATTTTTTAAAGCGCTTTTTGTCAAAACAAAGATATAATCACGCATGTGTAAATCGCCTTATCATACTGAATTTAATCAAACTGCAAAATTCTGTAAAAAATTATTCTGCGTAGCAAGCGTTTCCGTTTGCAGGGGCGGATCCAGGATTTTTTTCAGGAGGAGGTGCACTCGTCTCTTCCAATAAACCACATAGTGTTTTTTTGCAGAATACCAGTTGTATTAGAAAACCGCAGGTCATCTCGGGGGGGGGGCGCACCCCCTGCACCCTCCCCCTAGATCCGCCCCTGGTTTGGTTTCGGAGCAACGAAATACCGAGGAAGGGGACTTTCGGTTTTGACCGCGCGAGAAATGAAACGAGAGCTCCTAACCCGCACAGAAACGCTTGCTACGCAGGCTAGTAAAAATTGGCCTAAGCTCCGTGAAAGAAGGAAAAATAAATTTGCGGAAATACCTCTGGTATACATTTCTCAACAATATTGGCCATTTTAGGCTCATAACTAATAATTGCTGGGGTTTACAGGTCAGTATTTATCCTAAGGGACACTTCAGAACTGTCTTATTATTATAAAAGTATTTTCACTTCAAGTACATAGGAACATCAACTGTGCATGTGATGAATTCAGTGTCACTGGATAGTGATTTATCAAATGAACAGCAGTATTCGCCCTTGATAAACAACAGTTGGGGCCTGTTTCGCAGCGAATCGTCATGACCTCAAAAGATAGTTGACTGTTCACCTTTGTTTTAAAAAGAAATTAATACTTGAGACGTCAAATTTTACACAAAGACAAAATAAGTAAAAAATTGCTCCAATTTTTGTTGTCTAACCATAGTTGATTAAACAATGGCCTAACAACATTGAAGAAATAAAAAATATTTGAATAACGTTGTCAAATTATTAACTTAATCGACAAACCGCGATATAAACAAGAAAAATCGCAATTTTTTCAATGCATTCAATTAATTTAATATTCTCAGAGAAAAAGACTATATTAAATTGTCCACCCCACGTTAATGAGCGGATCATAATATTAACGGACTTAATTCCACATCTATGTTTCTTGTAATAACGAAATATATGAATTTAAAAAGAAAAAAAAAAGCAAGCGTGTAGTGTGCCAGAGATTTTTAAAGTAACTTTTCGTATTTGAATAATCAATAAAATAAAAATTGCAAAGTAAGTAAAATTTACCTGAATCTTTAGTTGGCCATCCTACATTTGCCAGCTAACTGCCATCGGTAAAGGCTATTAGGGATAACATATAAATGAGGCGGAACTCTTAGATTATTACCTCCATAAAAAAACGATAAAAAATAAAGCAAAAAAAGTTTCCACTTAATTGAAACCATGTGCCTTCAATATGCTAA